AGCTGTAGCTGCATTTAGTTTCACCCAACTTTTTGAAGCTGGAGTTAAAATTGAAAATACATCTCAGTTCAAAACAGTAGAGTGTTGCAACCTAAAACTTAGTAAACTGATCAGGATTTAACTCCAGAATTGTAGGGATTTTAGGAACATTGTGCTAAACTCCATAGATCATGCTAGTTTGCTTAGATAAAAAGACATGATAGATTTACTCCATTGTACTCACTGCATTCCTTTGCTTCCCCCCACCTCTTTAAATTATGGCTCCATATAAGATCGATTAGTGTAAACTGCTGCTCATTGGGTTTAAGAGGAACAATTTTCTGCAGCTCCTTCACATGGGTTTGAAAGGAAAAAAATACCAAACATTCTGCTTAATTAAGACCTAAAGAGGCGGTGCAAACTTTTGATGATTAATTGAAGCATGCTCTAGAATGATGCATATTTAGTTATTATAATGTGATAATTTTATCTTGTTATACAAACTACTCCCTTTGGGAACATGATTTAACACCGCAAACACTCTGTGTTTATTGCATTGTTCATTATGAAAAATACACAATTAAAACCACAAGGACATGTAACTGAACAGTACCTGTGTGGTGGGTGCAGGGAGTACTTCTTCCACGTGTAATGACACAACCCAGAGGCAGAAAATCACAATATTGTAACTCCCACAATATCTCTCCCTGTGAAGAGTCGAGACCTTAGAAAAGCAGAGGCTGGAAATTTAGATCTTGTGCAGTATGTAGAAAGAATTCATCTTCTTATCACCTAGGCTAATTAGAGAGGACAGCAATATGTATGTTCTGCTGAAAGTCCTCCTGTTACTATGTAGTAGTGTCAGTCTCATCTGCTCTTTGTCTCACCTGTAAGAGTGCCCATGCTACCTGTCATAAGTGTGAGATCTGAGAGCATGCTAAACACTTTGCAAAAGCAGGTGATAAAGTTGCAGGCCCAGATGGAGGGGGGAGGAAAAAAAGCAGTTATTAAGAAGTATTTCCTTTCACTTCAATATTATCTGTGCCAGGACTTGCAAATGATATTTTTGTACTTTACAAACATGTGTCAGCATAGCTGTATGTGTCCTAAAAGTGATGGTGAATGATCTTCATCAGAAGAGCTGCTCCAGTGAGAGCTCACATGATGGATGTAGGCATGGTGTCAGGATGAGCTCATGTTACTTTAAGCAGATATGCTAAGCTAGACTACCAGCAAAAGATGAACAAAGGAGACCATTGCCAATGTAATAAACTGGTGTAATTATTGTGGAGAAGCTTTCTTGGTGCAGTTCTAATCAGGAAAAGATTAGACTAAAGATTGAAGACAATAACCAGTCTTAAATTACTGGATTTGAAATTTCCTGCTTCCCTGTGATCTAGCAGCAAGTTCTTCTAGCTGAGTACTCTAGGAACAGAGATTTGATACATTTTCCTGAAAGCAGGGCAGGAATCTGGTAAAGTGATTTTCAAAGAATTTGGCCTTGAAAAACAAAGGTCTGTGAAAAAGTGAGAGGAATTTTATCTTGAATGGAATGCAAGATGTGAATTTCTGGTGTCAGATTATTCCAGCTTGTGTTTAGCAGATGACAGCACTTAAATCCCAAGACTCTGTTTTTTCTAATTTCACAAAATCTTAATCTCTTGAGGCTACATTATTGCTTCTCACTGCTGGTAGAAATACATGAAGTAATACTTTCTGCCAATGTTGCAGTCCTGAATTTTAGTTGCTAAGCTTAATACACTGTAACAAAACACGCCTATTAGTTCTATTCACAAGGTCTGCTCAGATCCCTACCACAAAACACAGTCAGGTTTGGACCTTTATCTTTGTCTCCAGCTGTCCTCTGCACCCGTAGGGCACAGCTCTGTACTCTCCCGGGGACCAAGCATGGTTTACTTTTTCTACTGTTCTTAGCATCACTTGCAGCTGAAAGAAAGGATTTGATTTTAGACCAAGTTTTCCCTCCTGCTGGGCTGGACCCGGTTGATGGTCCATAGAAATGTGATACTGGATGTTTTCTATTTCACCTGATGAACTGCATTACAAAAAGTTAAAGTTGCATCAAAAATTGACTTGGGCAAATGTACACCTGAGGGAGCAAAGATGACTTGAAAAGTGATGTATTAGTGTCTTGTCCCAGGAAATGTGTACTCTGAGCCCCCTTCTAAAGTACTGCTATTTCCTGGTTGCTTCACATGGCCATACTCAATTAATCCTTTTGTAGCAGTGTTCCTGAGTCTATTAAATTGAAGAGGCATCTAGTTTTATTATTGCTGTTACCATGAAATGAAAATAATTACATTGTTTGATGATTAGAGCGAGAAAGGAGTAGAATAGAGAAATAGTTTGAGTTCTTTGTATATAGCTAGACTATTTCCTTCTGTTTCCCCTTTCCTTCTTTCAAAATGATAAACATTTTGACTAATATTGATGATGCCTCCTGGATATCACATATCACTTCCAGGAAGTGCATACAGTGGCTGGAACTAGAGGTTTGTAGACTGTTCTCTGCTATTTTTCTGACCATCAGATTCGTGACCCACAAGTGAAGCCATGCTGCTTCAAAGGATTCTCTGTGTGATGGTTGTGTAGTTCTGTTGGATGGGGCAAGGCAAGACAGCAACCTGACATTGAAAGTCCCTCTCCTCTCTTCCCCTTGCCAGGATGTATCTTAGAGGGTAGAAGGAGGTGGACTGAACCTGACTGTCCTGCATAACTGCCTGCAGAAAAGTGCAGAGAAGTGAATAATGTGGCTTTTCCATGTAAAGAGCTGCTGCTGGTTGCCTGTGTAATTACAAATAAGCAATTGTGTGGATCTTTCTCATCATCTATGGGAGACTGTTCATGTGAATTAGTGAACAGGAATTCAATGACAACTGAGGTGTTCCCCCTATCAAATCACTAATGAAAACCCCTGAGAATCCCAGTGGTGCATATGTTTCCCCTTAAAAACTGTGCCCCAGACAAGCCAGCCTGCTTCAAAAAGAGCTACTTCAGCACCTACTTTACCAGTGAACTCTCTTTCAGCTCTGTAATATTATTTTTTCGTTTATGAGTGTTCCTCTCACCAGAAATGAAGGCTATTAGAAAGGTATCACTGGTAGATCTTCTCTTTTCCAGAGATAAAATGCTTCTTATCAGTAGGGGAATGTATGTTACTGTTATCTGATACAAGAGTCTGCTGTCTGGTTCCTTTTATTCAGAGGATCTTCTGTTGTCCTGGTACGTTCAAAGGGGCAGGTTCAGTCTGTAAGGAATTGGTTTATTATGGTGCAAAAGCAGCTGAATCAGGGTGCCTTTGTAAAAGATAAGTGTTTCAAATGACTCAGGACAAGAATGAGGGGAAGAGCTCTAGGTCTGTGCTGGAGTAGTTGGCACCCTGGACAAGGCCAGTCTGCAGAGACAGCAGCGATGACCCCGTGCAAAACCACCACAGCAGCACCCTGTGTGCCTGGCTGATGTTACAGCCAACTCAGGGCAGGCTTTTTGACCCTATAGATGGCTAGTGATAATTTTGGCCAAATTGTTTTGATTTCTGTGTTCAGTATATGAAGGTGCTTCTAATACTGACAAATCCTGCTCTAAAGGGTAAGTGATACAATACATTAAACACAAATCTGTGCTATAACTTGGCCTTAAATGTAGGTTTAAATGTAGACAGTCTGATTAAAATGAAAAGGTCATTATTTTACATTGTAGAGTTTTATTTGTAGCTGTAAATCATAACACAGTTTGTGGAAGGAAAAAAGTTATTAAACTGGCAGTATTTATGCCAATAAGGTGAGTAAAATGCAGCACGTAGTTCTGAGTTATGATAGTCAGGGAAAGGAGCCAAATCACTCTGCTAAAAATTAGTTTGCCAATAATTTTACTGAACGATGACAGCGTGGCTTCAAAAACAAATCCTTTATAGGGAAATAGGATGGCTGCATGACAGAATCTCTAAGGTATGAATTCTCCACAGCTCATGGACCAGGAACTGCTTTAACAATTAGTCTCCAGAGATATTTTTTCCCAGAAGTTAGACAATGGCTGCTGTCTGTAACTGAAAGGTCATTGAGTATCATAAACTGGACATAAGAACAGAAGAATTCTGAGTTTTAAGTCGGAAAGATTCCTGCTAACTTATTGACTTGACCTGTTTAGTAGGCTTAACTATTCACTGCTGTTGTCTGTGAAGCTGAGGTGGAAATGATAGCCACAAAAGAATACGTACATTAGTAAATAAGCTCTGTGGTATTTTTACATGGCAGAAGTCACACATGCCACATTTGTAACACATGTTAGAGAAGAGCTTGAAAGAGGCTTGTGAACTCTGCCTGAATTAAAATTTGACCAATGAGCATAATGACTGAAAAGTAACCTGGCAGATTTTGCCACAGTGTTGCGACTTCTGCCTTGTTCAAGTCTATGTTTCTGTGACTGCTGAATTCACAAAAAAGCTCCCTGTTTTGTATGCCAGTAATTTCGAAATAATACAGAAAAGGGGTGTTTTATGTTCCTTCTTATTTAGAAGAGGGCTCGTGTTAGAGACCTGCCTTGGTGCAGCACCTTCTGGCTGTGTTTTATCACCAGCTTGCTGAGCAGAGCATCTCAGGGACTCACTACAGCAGACTGTAAGTAACAAGAGCAAAATAGCAATACCCACTAAACCTTCACTAGACCTTGGTTACTCATTTAATAAAGAGTTGTGTGCTGTTAAGCTTGCTAAAAAGTTTGTGAGATTTCCAGACATTTTCAGCAGTGCACAATTTTTGAAGCTAGTCATCTTTTCCAGCCATTTTAGAAGCTTTGCCAGTCTGCTGAGTCTGGCTGGCACAGGTCACCGGCTGCCTGAGGACGAAGCTGGTGATCACAGGCAGGCACAGTTCTGCTCTCTGACAGTGAGGGAATTAGCAATAAGATGAGCTGGTGCTGCTTGTATCTAAGAGTAAGTGTGCAGATGTCTGAGGAAGGTGTTTGCATCTCATGTAAACATTGTTCTTATATTTTTGTTGTAGAAGATGATGTGTCAAATGTACAAATAATGTGTGCCTGGTGCCAGAAAGTTGGAATCAAGCGCTATTCCCTGAGTATGGGAAGTGAAGTGAAATGCTTCTGCAGCGAGAAGTGCTTTGCAGCTTGCCGAAGAGCATATTTCAAGAGAAACAAGGTAAGAGAAATAAGGAAAGATGTAACCTACATAGACATGGCTTTAATCAGGCCCAGCCTGAGTCTCATTTAGCATCTAATAGAAACTCTTTTCTTTTGTTTTCTCTGTTTCACCTAGTTCCACCACTTTCCATCTGTATTGTCTGTTGGACTGTCAGCCCTTTACTAACCTTCTTTCTTTCAGTTTCTCTCAGCTTGGTACTTGGTTTTTGTGAGGGTCAGGAAATTTAAATACTAATAAGCATAAGCATAAGACTCCAAATTTGGCCTTAGAGTCTCAGGATACTTCCTACTCGTATACAGCTAAGAGGAAGTATCAGAGAAATAGAGTAAGGTTGTGTATGACAGTGCCATCAAGTCCCATGGCATTGGGATCATGGCCAGTGGGTAAACACTTTAGGGCCCAAGTCTCAGTCCCATCACAATACTGGACATCTGTTCACTGCTGCTAGTGAGCTCTAGTTTCATTCTTTAAAAGTATATAATTTTTAATAACTTATGATTGCTACAGAATTCAGACACTATACAGTTTTTGCGTTGGGGTAAGCAATGTTAGAACATCTAGAGTAATTTGAATGCCCCTCCTACTCAATTTAAATTTAACTCCATCTAAAATTAGAAGCAATCCTAATATTGAATGTCTACAAAAATTGCTGTAATCACTGAAGCACAGTGCCTGAAGATGCCCTCTAGGTTACTTCAGCAGCTGTTTTTCTGCAGCAGAATTTGTGAAATGTCATTTAAAGAAAAACAGAGAAGAAACACCTTAAATTTTTAGTTGTTAAAAAAGTAACTGTGTCCTTTTGGTGCTTAATAGTGTGAGCCTCTGGGTAACTTTATTGTCTTAGAAATGTTTATCATTCATATAACTCTTTACATTTTGGCTTCCTGAATGATGCCATTTACCCTTATGCTTCAGGACATTCCAAGCCTGTCAAGTTCAAAGTGACTTCAGGTCTCTAAATCTGGTATTTTACATCTGTCATAATAACAAATAAGTATATATGGGTTCTAGACTCAAGATACAATGTTATAGCAAATTAACGTCCTTTATAAATTTAGGTCACATCATCCTGTCAAAAAAAAAAAAAAGCCCTGAAGAATTAGGTTGCAAAAATCAGTAGAGTGGAATTTTAGTGGCAGTCTTGGAGAATCAAGCTCACAGTGTCTACTGGAGCAGACAGGCAAGTAAAAGTTACATGAGTATTCTGTGAAGAGTGCTGTTTACATTCTTCTTATCTAGAAAAGGTGTAGAGGAGGGAAATACATGCTCCTTAGATGCTCCCCATTTGAAAATAAATCCGCAGGGATGTATGTGCATGTGCACTTGTACACTTCTATCACATGCAGTTCTGTGTGCCTTACAATGTGCAGGGCACAGTCCAGACCCTCTGGGCTGATAGAATACAGATCTCTGTCAGCTGATGTTCCTGTGACTTCCAGTCACGAATTTACGTGGATAGCATACTTCCTAGTAATGGAGGCATTGTCAGTGATCCTGGTTAGGTGGTCCTGTGTGTCCAGAACTGATGAGTACCAGATAATTTGAGAAACCTTGGAGAGGCAGATGAAAGGACTTGGTGTATTCTTTCTCACATATTCTTTCTCAGCTTAGATCCTGAAATAAGAGATTTAGATCTCCACTAAATGAAAATGAATGCATGTTAACATAATGCATAGGTGTACTTCAACCTTCTAGTAACCCATTAGTAGTAGAATTCAGTAATAGTTTATGACCATGAATTCAATTAGTGAGGCAGTATATGAAAAAGTTCCCTTTTACCTGACTTACTATTTATTACCCTTGTGCTTTATTGGAGGCCTCCTTGTCCTTGTATTATGAGAATGTGAAGCTCTAATTCATCCTTTCTCCTTGGTTCCCTTTCCTACACCTCTGTGAACTACTTCTGGAAGATGCCAAATTTTTCCATCCAGAAAACTCTCTGTATTCATTATTTTGTATGTGTGTATAGACAGACAGACAGACAGACACACACACACGTATACAAGTATATACACATATACATATACGCATATACATATATAAACACAATAGATGTTCCTGATATTTTCATATACCAGCATATCCCAGTGAAATGTCCTATTATTCTAAACTAAAGAGGTTTCAAACTAACAAAATGTCATGTGGGAGGACTTGGCAAAACATGGTGAGAAAGCATCATCATGTTGATTTGCTCTGCTTCGAAGCTAAGCCAGTGAGTTAAATTTTCTTTCTCTTTGGACCTGTGCAACTTGAAATTCACAGTATTTGACTGAGCAGAGGAAATCTGTAGCTGTCCCTTGCATGTATGTTTATGGCATTAGATAATCTGGGGACAGAATCAGAAGTGCTCTTATTAAATGAAGACAATCACAGTAGAACTCAGCAGACCCTCACACTTCTGGTTTTGCACTTCACCTGTTAGTAACAGAGTGAAGTCTTGAGGAACAAGATCAAAAGAATCAGGATGCAATAGTTTCAGATTTAACTGCTGATCTTTGTTCTGTTACTGCTATTCCAACATCGTACCTGTCTTCTCGATGACTGTAATGCTTATTTATGTATTTTAAGGAGTTATGCCACTCTACACATTCTCATTTTTCAAACAGAGGAGCAAAACAGTCACATTTCACCTGCCCTATGCATGTTTTAAACAGCGGATCTCTGCCACAATATAGTGTTGTATTACATTAAATATGTACAGCTGCTGCATTTCTGGGAGCTGATAGGACTTTGTGGTCACTTTATTTAAAGCTTGAGTTTCCTAATGGATCACGTTAAGCAGTCTTCCCTCCCTCCACTAGATAAGAAGTGCTGTAATAAGTGCTTGCCTTGGATGATAGGAGTGTTTAAGCAGTCATCACTAATGTCTCAAAACAGCACTAAGTAATGCTGTGAATTATCCATCCCTGAATGACAGTTGCTGTGTTCAAAATGAGTACTTTTGTAATCATTCTAATAAAAAGATATTTTCCCATACACATGGCAAATGCACACTGCAGTGCTGCCTGCCACAGATTCCCAACTGGGGGGAGGCTTGGCATGAACCCACACTGAAGTGCCCTGAAAGTGCTCCACAAAGCCCCAGGTCAGATGGGCACTGGCTGCTCCCAACTTCTAACTCCTTCTCAGCCCTTTCCTGCTCTAGGTTTAGCAAGAGTAGCAACACACTGGAATAAGCTGGTGCCTTCCTGGCCTTGGGAGCTTTGACCCAAGGAGTTAAGTCAGAGGTGCCCATCAGGCTTTCTTGCTTTTTGTCCTGCTGGAATCTTGTCTATTTGTGCTCTGGAAGTTGGGCTCCTGTGTCCTCTGCATGCATGCATAGCCAGGGCTGTCAGGGAGTTTCATGCCTGGAATGGGAAGTTTGTAAAGAAGGAGTCTGGTGCAACCTGAAGTTGCTTTTCTTATAAGAAATGCAAATTTTGCTCCAGGTATTTTGAAGTCATGACTGTTTAAAATTATATGAGCTAGCAGCCATGCCTTGCAAGAATAGAAATATATGTGTTTTGAAATTATAAAAGCTCCTCCAACAGAATAATCTTATCTAAATTATTAGCGATAAATGAACCAAAAATTGAGGCTTTTACCCCATTAAGCAAAAACCAAAGTATTTAGACAAGATCCAATTTAGAAAGAACCCTACAATTAACACCACTGCCACCCCCAAACAAAAATAACCCAATTCTGCATTCCCACTTCTGTTTGTCCAGTTTGTCCAGTCAAATGCACATAATGAATATTGTATAATGACAGCTTATTGTATATAAAAATACTGATTAAAAGGAGCCATTGCCAGAAAAGCTAGCATTTGGCACTAACGTTAATACCCAAAGACATAAGTTTTGGATGCTTCCTTCTTAGATTTAATTTTATAGGCCAACTAATACAAAGTTAAGTACCAAAGAGTCACGTAAGGGCAAAAAGCACTAGACCACCAAGTTTCAGAATATGAAATTTAAAGGGAATGGTTGGACTCATAATTGGATCCAGTGAGTCTGAAGCTTGAAAAGATTAATTTTGAAATTAAGTTGTTTGACTCACTGGGTCAGAAAACAAATTTATTATGACCAAATAGCCAAACATAGAACTAGAACTGACTTCAAAGAGGCTATAAGCTCTGTTCACAGATATATTAAAGATTAATTTACTTGATTTGACTAGACTTTGGAGACATAGTGACTGCAAGGTTCTCAGGCAGTATTTCATACTTGACCTTGTCCCCGCTTTGCACTGCCTCCCAATTAGGAAGAAAGATAGATGTTTTTGTTTACAGAGCAGTCCAATTTCATTCATACTAATAAAAAGTCATAAATCAAAAAGTAAAAGTAAGCTACTCTTTAGCACCATGAAGATGTAAACAAGGATGACCCTTTTCTCCCTGTAAAGTATAGTGATGTGCAGCACTGTGTGTTAGTAGTGCAGACAGAGAGTGTGGTTTAGGGTCCTTTATCTAATATGTGTGGCAAAAATGGATGTAAACTATCAAATAGAGCTGTAAGAAGTCATACACATTTATTTAGTTCTGAGTTCTGTTGCATTAGACAACTCCTCACATTTTCAAGCTATATTTAATGATGATAAAGAGCATGCAGTATCATATAGCATTAGCGCTCTTGCCTGTATAATTTTTTGGTTAATTAATATCTATCACTAAGTGATGATATGGACATTTAGAGACAAGCATGTACTATAAACTGGGAGTAAACAGCAGCTATCATTCCCCAGAATTATTACTGAGGATTGTCAGAGAAAGTTCTCTTGATTTCAAGCCTAATTGTGTGGCCTAACAGTGCATGAGAGATATTTAACAATCTCACTGTTAAGTCAATTGCAAAAAAAAAAAATCTACTTTCATCTCTTTCTTGTGCATCTGCAAAATTTAATTTGTAAAGTGATCATTATTCATTGAGATTTGGAAAATTGCTTAGAGCAACTTGATGCAAATAATGCTCTGACCAAAAAAAAAGGGGAAAGCTTAGCTGTTCTTTTAGACTCTCTTT